GGGAGTCCACGAGCTGGCTCACGCTTGCCGAAGCATCTTGCGTTGACTCTGCTGCAACGCGCTGACGGGTGTGCTGTTTCAACCTCCCCCTACACACCACCCTGCATCTGCATCCATCACCACCCACCCTCACCCACTGTGGCCGGTACAGGGGGGCTAGAAGTTATGGGTGAAGGAGAAGCCTTTTTGACCACCGCGACAGTTGGTTTATCGTTCTTCTTTAGAGCAAATGAAACCAAGTCTTCACACCCGCCTTCCTCGCTCTGTCTCTCGTAGTGCAACCTCCTCCGCGTCCGAAGGCGGTCTGTGGGTTTGAGAAGAACACGTGTGGCTGGAAAAACGATGGCAACAATTGGCAGCGTCACTGGCGTATTCATCGCGAACTGAGCGATTCGGAGAACGTTAGTCATCTGCCTGTCCTCTGTCTATCGGCCAATCAGCTCTATCAGATTTCCAAACAGGACGACGAAGATGCTGACACAGACTCCTCTTGGGTATCCAGTGCCGACACAAAGGGAACGTCTGGCCGTGTTTCTGGTGATAGCGCTATGGACATTCAAGCTCGCCTCTGGAGTCCAACAGTTCCCAGCACACTGTGTCTCCGTTGTCTGACGTTGGTATACTCGATAACCCTGGGCAGTGTTACGCCGGAGGTTAACAGTCGTGACCGACTGCCAAGCCTTGCTCTGCTTCAACGTCAAGAAGGGTTCGCTAGCGTTACGTTCTCTCCAGCTCCTCTTCTCTCTCATCATCATAATCGTCCCCACCACCATCATCATCTTCGTCACCTGTCTGCATTTTTGCCTACTACATTGTTAATATTTTAAAAGCTCGTCAATTTTAACCGCGTAGGGTTCCAACGGCAAAGCAGGACAATGGTTACTTGCGTTTGAATTTTCTGTTTCCCTTCCTAAATGTTCCTGTTGCGCATAGTCAAACGACAGTAGGCGAGAGGTGGTTCATATTACCATCACAAGTTCTTCTGTCTTCCTCTAGTTCAGGCTTGAAGGACCGGCCACCCAGTGTGTCAACGACCCAGCTAACCCCATTGTATACCTTAAGGTATCAGCGGAATGCACCCACAGCCAACCCTCACCTGCTGAGGCCAGCAGAGAGAGTTATAAGTTATCCTTTTTGCTTAGAACAAAGCTTAATAGAGCCAGTGAGATCAGCCGCTCATAAAACCCTCCTCGCTCTGTCTCTCGTAGTGCAAACTCCTCCGCGCCCAAAAGCCGTCTGTGGGTTTGAGAAGGGCACCTGTGGTTGGACAAACGATGGAAACAATTGGCAGCGTCACTGGCGTATTCATCGTGAACTGAGTGATTCAGAGAATGTTGGTCACCTGCCTGTCCTCTGCCTGACGGCCAGTGAAGTCGATCAGATTGCCAAACAAGAGGATGAAGCCGTGGACGCAGACTCCTTATGGGCGTCCGACCCCGATGCTGAGAGCCCGTCTGACCATGTATCTGGTGGTGACTTTATTGACATTCAAGCTCGTCTCTGGAGTCCAACAGTTCGCAGCATGCTAGGTCTACGTTGTCTGACGCTGGCATACTCGATAAGACTGGGCAGTCCATTGCCGGGGAGTAACAGTCGTGACCGATTGCTGAGTATTGCTCTGCTTCAGCGTCAAGAAGGGTTCGCCAGTATTGCATTCTTACCAGCTTTTCCTTCCCATCCCCCAACATCATCATAATCATCAGCACCCCTCCGCTTCTGTCTTTGCGTTGCCGCATCAGGAATAGGTGAAAAGTCCGTCATTATTTGCTGTGTAAAGTTCTTAATTCTAAGCAGCACAAGGGTTATTTGCAGTTAAATTCTCTGTTTCCGTTCCTCCATTTTTTTGCCGCGCATGTACAAACAGCGGGAGACGGTTCCTACTATTAGCATCATTTCCTCCGTCGTGGTCTTGTTCAGGCTTGAGGGACCAGGCACCGAGGGCATCAGCGACTTATCTAACCCCATTGGCTACCTGAAGGCACCAGCAGAATGCACTCACAGTCCACTCTCACCCACTGAGACCAGGGGCCAAAGCTAGAAGTTATCATTTTTGCTTAGAACCAAATTTAAACGAGCCAGTGAGATCCGGCCTTCACACCATCCTCCTCGCTCTGTCTCTCGTAGTGCAATCTCCTCCGCGACCGAAAGCGGTGTGTGGCTTTGAGAAGAGCACCTGTGGTTGGACAAACGATGGAAACAATTGGCAACGTCATTGGCGTATTCATCGTGAACTGAGCGATTTGGAGAATGCTGGTCATCTGCCCGTCCTC